AAAAAAAAAAGGAATCGCCGAGGCGCAACACACCGCCCTCCTCCGTCTCTCGGCGTCAAGCCGCGGCGTGTCTAAACCTCTCACAACCAACAAGATAAAACAAAAAAAAAGTTTTGATCCGAAGACACAGAAACAGAAACAGAAGCAAACAAAGAAAAAAACAAATAGGGGACTCGTGTGCGCGTGTGTGACTGCAGGAAGGGGCAGCAGCGCAAGCCGGCCTCCCCTCCTTCTCCTTCGCCCTCCGCATGGCGCAACTCCCCGCCGGCACCCGCCGCGCACTTACCCTCTACAGGTCCTTTGTTCGTTACCCCTTTTGCGTCCCTCAACACTCGTGCTGTGGGGGGACGCCGTATTGCAGGCTAATGCGCACTTTGAACGTGCCGCTCTCTCTCTCTCACTCTCTCTCTTTCTCTCACTCTCTCTTTTTTCTCGCTCCTCATCTCTCTTTATTGTTTTGTTCGTTTTACATAAGCACGCAGACGGAATTGGCAACGATCTGCCGTGCGGCGATGGCATCATGCCGCTCTCAAGCAGGCCGTTGGTTGAGTGAGTGGGCGAGTGGGGCGCCGGGAGAGAGAGAGGGACGCGCCGTCCCCCCAGCGCGGCGTTGTGCAACACATAGCCGACCAAAACGCGCAGGGGATGTGGTCGCAAGCAAGAAAAAAAAAAAAGGAAAACAAAAAAAAAAGTAGAAAGACACGCTCAGTAAAACGCTGAGGAAGCGAATGGTATCGGCGTGTCGCTTTGCTTGATCGCTCGCACGCATCCAGTAGCTATTGCAACGGACATGGGCAAGCAGAAAATAGTTTTCGCTGGCAGAGGGGACACACAGTAAAACCAATACCATCCAACAACACGATGCCAAAAGCTAGAGTGAGTCACATACATCCCCTTCCTCGTCTGCAGATGTCCGACACGTCCGAAGAGAAGGGCTCGTACCCACCATCGTTTCTCGCTTTCGCCATCTTACGCTCGTGTTGACTATTACTTACTCAAGTCGTCTCTCTTACTGGTGTCTATTCATTGTGTTTTTCTTTTTTGTTTCGCTTACCTTTTGCCTTGCTGCTTTCAGCTTAACGTGCTATTAGCCTCATCGAATTCTGTCTTTGAACTATCATTGTTTAATCTTCAACGGTAGTGCTTGCCAGCACGCCACCGGAAGTCACGCTGCATCTGTCGTCGTTGCCTCTTCAGCACGCCGTACAGCAGCACGCCGTGGTAGTACTCCGTGTCACGACAAGCTGGCGGCAGCTGACGTACCGGGATGCGCCGCAGACACTCCCGCGCAGTCTCAGAGGCGTGGCACTTGCCTGCCATGCGCACATACGACACACACTCCTCCCTCCCCCATAGCCAGCTGCTGCATTCCTTGCTGAAGGCGGTCAGTCGGTGCTGAGGTAGTTGAGAATGGCCCTGTGTCGTGGTGCTGGCGTAGACGTTGTTCCTGGATTCGAGAAACTGCTGTAGGAGGCACTTGAGTGGCGCTTCTTTGTTCGTGGGGCATAAATGCTCAATTTCGGCATCGCAGACGGAGAACACAGAAAACGGCGACCCTGTGGATGACGGAAGCCTCCGCGCATGGAGCCGATGAGGTGGGCGAACGGCTGGCTGCTGCGGCGATGAGACTGTTGCGCGCTCCGCTGTCACCAGGAGCAACGAAAGAAGAATGCAGGCCGAAACGCAAACAACAACACGAGTCATGCGTCACTTGTCCCTCGGCCGAGTGCAAAACACACAGATGATCGATTTTTTTCCTTCTTAATTGCTTCGCCTCAGTGGTAGGAAGTGAATGAAAGCAAAAGCAACGAATGAACGAAAGAAAGAAGATGCATGCTGCTGAAGGAGATGGACGGTCCAAGAACAACTTGCGTGAGGCGCGCCCCCAGATTAAAATATATATATCTGCAGGCACCCACGCACAAATGCTCAACTTTCTTTCGTCGCCAGTTTTTGTTTTTGTGTGTGTGGAGAGGAAGGGGAAGGGGGCAATCCGGTGATAGAGATTTCTCTTCGCTCGTGCAACCGCCCAGGAAAGGAGCGAAGGTGCTCTACAACTGCTTTTCCTTCTCGCCGGCCGCTGCTTCCGCACTGATGGCCTCCACCGCCGCTTTGAGAAACGTGAGAACAAACATGCCTCCCACGATAGTGAAAGCAACCTGCGGAAAGAAGACCCAGTTGGGGTTTGCCGTGTCCCACATCACCCACCCAGTGTAGAAGCTGTACTGAAGCGGCACCGTCAACAGCAATGTGTACACAGGCACGAACACATTTGCTGTCCGCAGCCGTTCCAGCATTGACGTGCCACCATCCCTCTGACCGAGTCGAGACGTCTTATCCAAGAGGGAGTAGAGGAACAGCACCCCCAGCATATAATCTGGAAGGGCCAAATGGCAACGACAAGCCTTGCTCACGCAGATAGCAAACAAAACAACGAGCAGGCGCCGATTGCCAGGGACAACACCTGTGCGCTCCAGCGTCGGGGCCGTCGGGGCCTCGGCGTCGGCTGGAAGCGCCACCGCAAGTGGCATCGTTAAAATAGCTGGCAGCTGAAATTGAAAAACGTCCATGCAGCGCTCGAACGCGGGAATGATAAGTAAGCGCACATACCACATCACCCCGTTATCGGGTGGGGCGTATAGAGAAGTCTGAGCACGAAGCTCACCATACAGTCTCAAATACAGCAGGCCACACCCTCCAATGCTTGCGGCACCGAGAAGAGCGCCAACTAGCGCAATTTTTGGGCTTGTTGTTCCAATAGGGAACCAAAGTGCCACAGCAACGGCAATAAAGGAAAACCCCAGAACTGGCAAAATGAGCCGCGCAATATTCATAAGCCACGGTTGGACTCGCTGTCTCCTAGAACATTCAATGATTATAGCTAGCAGAAAGTGCTCCACAGGTGCAAGGGACTCCAGCACCGGCAAGAGTATCATCGCAGGATTCAGCACAAAAAGTGTATACACGAACTGGGGGGTGGCAGAAGGCCACCTGCTAACAATAAAAGCAGTCAAGCCGTCCAATAGACATAAAACGGTAACGTACACACCAGCAGGCGCTGGTGGGATATACTCAGCATACCAGGGGGCCACAGCAGTGATGTAATCAGGGACAGAATTGAACTCTTGCTTCCAGAAGACAGCCTCCTTCCATATCTCTGCTCCTGTGTTTGGTGTTGTGATTCCAAAGTGATAAGGGAGAGAAATCTGATCCTTGAAACTGTACGTGAGGAATCGCACTGCCAATGTAACCACAACAGCAACGAGTGGCGTTGAGAGGATTTTTTCACCCTGCATTTCTTCACCCTACTATCTCTACCCCTTCACTTCTTCACTTATTCTATCCTAAATAAAAAGAGATACACAGCATGTAGCCCAGTGCACCAAAGTAAACAGAAAATGAGAAGAATTAAACAACAAAAAAAGGAAATGCGAAGATAATGATGCTACTCTTTCAATAAAGCGGCAGTTGGCATAAACTTTTTCTCGTTCTTAACAGGCTTCACATTTTCATGCTTATTCTATGATGTTTCTTGAACACTTTTCTATGGCTACCACAGTAACTTCTACAGATGTATTGAGTGAACAGTGAGTGCAACCGCCTTCATGCTCATGCACGAGAGGTTAACCGCAGTGTCGCTTTACATGCACAATTTACACAAGAGGGGGGTGCTGCGTGTCCTGAATGGCAGCCAGAGTCTTCAACTTCAGCAGGTGCGTGTAGACCATGTGCCGGCGTGGCGGTGGCTTGACAAAACTCAAGAGGCGCTGCTTTTTACCATCGCCGCCCGTGGCACGCTTCTTCTCTGCCTTGGTCTTTGTGTCCTCCTCGAAAACGACGGGGGCACACACGTCGGGATTCTTTGCCAGCTGAACAACAGGCCCCCACGAAAGGCGCACAAAGTCATGTTCGCGCGGCAGCACGAAGAAACGGTGCACGTGCGAACGCACCCATGACATTACCTTCGGGTCGCTCGGGTACCCGCTTCCAGCATCAATGCCTAGCTGCGCAACGTGGCGGTCGCGCTCCACCTTTGCGGCAACAGAGGCGGCTGCCACTATTGGGAATTTTGACTCTGCTTTCTTCGCCACTGTAACACGCAGGTGCGGGAATCTACCGGAAAGGCGGTTCTGGTACGACTCGGGTGGTCCTACAGTGTCGATATACGCGGCACATAGCATCCCTTCGGCCTCCAGCGTCGCTCTGGAGATGATGGCAATGGCCGTGTCGTGGCTGAGCGTGTTAAGATTGGTGCCGTGAGTGCCTGTCATAGCGGCGGCGATCTCAGCGGGTGTCACAATGACGGTAAAGGTTCGGAACGTTTTGAGATCCTGCAGCTTCTGCAGCACATCTTTCCGTTGAGCCTCACCAAGGACTTTGCTGTCGTTAACGCCACAGTAGTCAATGAGACGATCATGCTCATGCAGAGCAATAATTGCGCCAGTGTATACCATCGGGCCAATTACAGGCCCTCGCCCCGCCTCATCAATACCAAGCACCATATGATTCTCTGTACAGTCCATCGCCTGCATGAACTCAGAGACATCAAACTCAATACTGGTGCGATTGCGTTTTGCCCCGCTAAGTGCCTTACTACTGGCAGAGCGGGGTTCGGCCATGGCAACCTCTCCACTACCCTCTTCAACACTCCAAAATGCAGTTCCGCCTCCTGCACGACTTGTAGTGCGCTTGTACGGCTAAATGTGACGCTTGGCTTTTTCGTAGAAGGCAATAGAATTGGAAGAATGACAAAAAAAACACCTTCGTACTGTTATGTGAAGAAGGGAAATACGGAATAACAAGATACTGTCTGTAGCAACTAGCGCCATGCGAAAACGCACCTTCACCCATGGCATTAGTACACCATGACGAACGGCAAGCTATCCCCTTCTGTGTGCACGTGTGAGCGACCTGGCGAGAGACGCAGTATCCTCACCCGCCGTTAAATGGCGCCGGTGCTTTTGCCATATTTCATCTTTTGTCGCGAATGTGTCCGCGCCTCTTTCAGGCCCGTGATGCCGCCCAGCCGACGGTTCACACCGAGGAAGCTGTAGAACATGTTGGGCAGGATCGTCTCACACCGCACAGANCTGTACGCCACAAGCAACGACACCGCAATGCCCATAATGAACACTGACTCCGCGCCCCGATCTGTCTGCAGCTTGATGGCGCTCTCGCTGGGGTCGGCGGGGTTGTGGTACACCACTAGCTGCGTCCCTGCGCCGAGCAGAGCCGGATTTGACACCATCTCTTCCTTATGGATGCCACCGCTACGGAAGCGGTCGCCAATGTATTCTCTGCCATCCACCTCGAAACGGTACTGCACGTAGCTCGAGCCACCGCGCTTCATGACGATTTTGTGGTCAAAAATGGTAGCCACCGCCGGCTTCCATGTCAGCGAGCGTCGGTAGCGCTCCTCAGCCGCAACGATCCACTTCACCTGCACGTAGGCAAAGTAAGAGTAAATCACGCAGAAGCTGACACGAAACGTGCTGAGATACCACGGCATCGCACCCTTTTCGCTATGCACCAACGGAGAGTCTACACCTACAACAGCGGCCCGCGTGCGGAACGGACCTGGCAATAGAGAGCAGAAGTAGTCAAGCGGCAAAGTAAAGCACAGTACATCGAATAGAGCCAAACATGTATAAAGTCTAAGTTCCCACACACTTTACATTGGTTTGAGGCACACATGACTGTTTCCTTCACGCACGTATTGCATTGCTCCCTGAGTTTCCTGGAGCATCCTATTCACCACGTTCTACGTCCCCTTCCATGCTACCCACTGGACTCTGTTCCCTAATAATCCGTTGTCTGTGAGGGGACCTTATTGATGGTCTCGTTTCCACCAGCGCCATCCGGCCTCTGCGCCACGTAGCCTGGCTTAGAGAAGCGCTCGTACTTGGCACGGCGGCTCTCCTTTACTGCGCTGTGGACGGTCTCCGTGCAGACGTTAAGGTATTTTAGGTAACTGATACCATGCTCGCGCCACGTGGCGTTCAGCAGAGCACAACTCCGACGCATTGCCGTTCTTCCCGAATCACAAACAACTAATCTTTTTTTTTCGGTGCGGAATGGGAAACAGAGGAGTCGAACAAAGAAACAACAAAACATCAGCAGGTGGCAGAAGGAGCGAAACAAAAAACAAGGCAAAGGGGAAGGGGAAGCCAAACAAACAAACGGGGTACCCTAGGAATCAAGGACTCTCCAAAACTCGTAAGCTCTTCTTCTCAAACTACCGTGCCTCCTCATTATCGCGCTTCACGCAGCAGTTCTTTCGCAGCTTGCCACCAACGCAACTCCCTTGTCCCTTGACAACAAACGACGCGCCGGCTCCTCCTTTTGCGGGCACCTCCTTTTCATTGCGGGCGTAAGTGAAAGAGCCAATGCTCATCGGAACCTTCACCCTCACCGGAACGCATCAACCCCGCATCATATTTGGTCCGCTCCTCCGTGTCGCACAATATTTCGTGGGCCTTTGTCATCACCTTGAAGAGCTCGGCCTCCTCTGGCGTCTGGTCCCGGCCCACACGGTCAGGATGAAGCTCCAGTGCCTTCTTTTTATATTGTTGCCGTATCTGCTCCTCAGTGGCCTCACGTGTGACGCCCAGTACATCGTAGTAGTTCATCAGCTTCAGTAGACGTGCTTTCACCCTATTGTCGGAGGAACCTTTGCTGAGATCGGCGAGAGACGGCCCGTCGCGCGTCTCGTCTCGCAGGCCCTTTCCCTGTTTTTCAAAAGCCTCAAGGAAGGTGCGCTCGTCCGCGTGACGTGTGCGCACAGCCGGTTTGGAGAAGTCGAAGATATCGTCAGACTGGGCCCTTTCTTGTGCCGATACTGCGGCGTTGGGGAGCGCAGCAGAGGTTGGCGCAGTAAAGAAGGCATCCAAAGGATCGCTAAATTGAAAATCATCTTTCTTCTGCTGTTGTTGGGTCGCGGGAGCAGCCGAGGGCCATTGCATCTCCGGCTTTGGGTGGTGCGTATTCGAGACACCGCCTCCTGCCTGAACTGCTGGCGTGCTACTTAAGAGAGCCAGGTCACTAAATAAATCACCCAAGTCCACCGGCGCCTGTTGGACAGCACTGTTGTGGTTCATGTTGCTACTTTTGCCGACGACAGTACCGGTGACGACGGCTTTGCCCGGCCCTCCCCCAGAGAGCAACACCTGCGGACACGTGGTGTTTTTCTCGAACGGCGGATCGCATTCGTCGATGTCGTCAAGTCCCATTTTGCGTTGGCGATGACGCCTTTTATTTTTCTTCTGCAGCCCTGCAGCAAAATGCAGTATGTCACTTTTCCCCACTCCTCAAAAGGGCACAAACAAAAAAAAAAAGAAAGCAGCAACAGGAGCAACCAAGGAGACTGAAAGAGAAGAAAACAAGGCGCGCGGGAACGCGACACAATCAAGCACCAATTGCACAACGCTTTCTCCGTTGGAAGGAAGCCTCAACGAGTTTAAATAGAAAATGAAGCGCAAAATAAAAAAGACAGAAGGAAGTGGCGGGTCCTTTTGTGCCTACTGCGCGGAGAAGGTGAGGTGGCACTTGCCGCAGTACTTGCGGCCCTTGTGGTTCGCCATGAAGACGCCGGCGCCGCAGTTGGGGCCGGGGCACTCGGTGCGGGTGCGCTCCACCTTGAAGGAGCCGTCGTCGTTCTCCGTCACCTTGAAGTACTTCAGCGCGCGCATCTTCTCCAGCTTGTGGCGGTGGATCGGCTTCTTGGGCTTCGTGAAGATCTTCTTCTTCTTCTTCTTGCCCTTACCGCCCTCGACGGGAACCACCACCTGGATGGTGCTCTCGCGCTGCAGCCCGTACTCGGCGAGGAGGGCCTCGTCGCACAGGCAGCGGCCACCGAAGAAGAGGTCGCCAGCGCACACGCCGGCCTTCGACTTGAGGCTGGCGACAGTCTCCTGCGCGGTGGCCTGGACGACAACGGTCTTGCCGGCCGCAGAGCGGAGGAACAGCTGCATTCTGTCCGGTTGCTTTCTTTTCTTCGCCTCTCTCAGGCTCCCTTCCTTCTTCACAGAGTTGGGGAAGAGAAACAGCGGGTGACAGCTGCACAGGTGGGGGGTCACAAACGCCCCACACACCAGTAAGGACAGTCGGCAAGGGAAACAGCAAGGATGAGAATCAGAACGAAAGATTCAGCAGAAAGAGGAACAAGGGGAGGAAATATGCACACAGTAAGGGTGCTTACGTGCATCAATGCATGCGCGTGTATGTTTTTGGTCATTTTTGTGCCTATGCGACAGAACCACAACCACATAAGGAGGGAATTTCAGGTTGAGCAGCTCAACTGGCGCCGCTGCAGCCATGCTTCCACCGCCTCGCTTTGCTTCACCGCATTCTCAAGTGGCACTGCATCGCCATTCATGGGCGCGGGCTGTGGCATCGGGTTGCACACTTCCAGCGCGAAGTTAAGTGTCATGGGCAGCGTATCGTCCACTGGTGAAACAGCAGCCACAACGACTGTGCTGCGTGGGTGAATGGCACGCCTCACACAAACCCCGGGACGGCCACTGGCATCACAATTACTGTCAGATTTTTCGACGTTGGTGTCACTTCTATTGTCGTTGCACTGCGTGCCGTCCTCGTTTTCGTTGCTCTTGTTGTTGCGGCTGCTGCTGCTACCACCACCACGGCTGTTGCTAATGGGCGCCAACACTACTGCATTGCTGAGCGCTGGGTCGCCACGCCACCGAAAGACGACCTCCACCTCTGCGGTGGAGCGGTTGGCGACGCAGACGCACAGCGACAGGTATAATTCTCGGGTGATGTACCACACGCCACAGCCAGGCGACACTTCCTGCCACAAATCCATTCTCCCCAAAAGTCTACAAGACTCACCTCCCCCAATCCCTCAGCTGTTGTGTGCGGCCGTCGCCAACAGCAGAAGCAGAAGCAGAAGCAGCACAACAAGGACGAGGAGGTGGTGGTGGTGCACAAACAAAACCTACCACACACCACACGGCACGCCCGGCTGATGCTTTTCAAACACAACAGAGGAGGACAACAACAACGAAAGGACAAAAAAAAAGAAAGACAGAATTTGTCAGTCTGGTACAAACACAAACAGAGGATGCCATGTTGGTGATCCTACTGGCATGTAACAGCCGCGTGACATATTTTTTTAATGATAACCCTCCTGGGCCGAAGAGGCATAGAGGGAGAAAAACAAAAAAAGAAAAATAGAAACGGGCCTGCTTGAATTCCACCTCCAGTGGGTCCCTGTGCATGTATTTCATCCACTTTTCTTCCATCCCTCTCTCCTCCCCTCATTCACAGCTGTCAATAAGGCACATCTCGATCACACAGCACACCTTCTATCCGCAGCCCCTTCCTTGTAAAGGAGAGTTGGACCTCTAATCCCCCTGGCAACTCACGTGTCCGCACGTCACACAACAGGTGCGCCCGGTGGAGGCAACGATGGTACCGAGACGTTGGGCACTGTCGTTGGCGGGTGTGCTGGAAACGTGTGTACAGTAGAGTACGGCGCCACAGAGCCGTCCGGTGTCTCAGGCAGCGGTGGGCGGCTTCGAGCAACAGCAGCAGCAGCAGCATCCGTAGACGACATTGGCAGCTCGCACGGCTGTGGGGGCTGCGGCGCGGGGGACGGCTCCACAATGTGGTCGCTTCCGTTACTACGCGCGGCGGGGGTGGGAGCGGCGGCGGCAGCAGCAGCAGCAGCAGCAACAGCAACAGCGGAAACTGCAGCAGCTTCCTCTGCCGCAACCAGCGCCGAAACACATTCAGATGCTGCCTCCTTAATTACAGCCTTTCGCGCCTCGAGGTCACCAAAGTACTGCTCCAACTCTAAGCGCAGCGCCTTGGTGGTGAGGTTCGACCTCTCACCACGTGGTGTGGAGAGGATGCGCTTGTACACCGCCACCCGAATGGCATCGTCACTTGGCGCATTTGCCTGTGATGGCTTCCCTGCCACTGGTGCTCTCTTCTCAGTGCGCTTCGACTTTTCTTCCACTCCAGTCCCACCTGTAGCTGCATCGGCTGCTGCTGCTGCGGGTGCGGTTTCCTTCTTTAACTTCGTCTCCCTGCCAACAGCGCTCGGCGATGTGGTTCGCTCCCGCTTTGCTGCTGTGCCCGACGGCCGTGCGGGCTTGACGGGTGTTTTGCGCTTCTCTTCGCTGTGTGGCTGCATAAGAAACCTCGCAACATCGTCGGCAACCTGCGCGTGCGGCTTGGAAATATGCACTGGCATACCGAGCGCCTGAATGAGGTCGCGCAGCCTCTCCTTCTTCAGCTTGTGGAGCTTTTCCGTGATGTCCTTCTGCATGTCCGCCGGGAAGCCGCAGAACGGCTCAAGCGCGCGGCGCCGCTCGCCCGCCTTACCGGCGCGGCCAAACACCAGCCGGTGCAGCGGCTCAAGACGCGTCTCCAGGAGCTTGCACGCCGCGCCGCGGTTGCTCACTGCCTGCACGGCTGGAAGCTGCCCCAGCGGCGTCCCCGCCCCCTGCGATAGAGCGAACTTCGCGCCTGTTGCGCCGTCCTCGCTATCGGACGCCGCAGGACCGTGAGGCTCCTCCGACATCTGTGTGTGTGTTACTGTATGTGTGTATGTGTATGTGTGTATGTGGGTTAATGAGCGCAAGTGTCCCTGCCTCTCCTCGTGTCCTCGGCCAATACGCAGTAACCTCCCTTCTTGCAACAACTAGAGCAAGGAAAGACAGCGAATAAGAGAAATCGTATCTCATACACAGATACCAAGGAGGTGGGGGGGGAACGAAAGGGGTAGTGAGCATCACACACACACACACACACACAGAGAGAGAGAGGCGAAAATGTACAACCAAACAACAAAGAGGAAACAAAACAGATGAGCACACCACATGTAGCCCAAGCAAATGTCCACATTAATGTGCAAGTGGGTGCATGTCTGGACGTCACTCCGTGTATGTGTGTGTACGTGTGTACTCATGGAGCCATTATCGACTGAAGTCGACGGATGGTGCAAAATGATGAGCTCTGAAGGCACAGCACAGACCCGAAAGCGGCGTCACTCTCCAATATCCGCAGCGCCTCCGTCAGCCGTTGCGCCATTGTCATGCTGTCCTCACCACCGTCCGCATCCTCATCCTCGACGGCCCCAATGAACGGGGCACCAGGTGATAAAGACGCACTGTGCAACGCGCCTGCAACACCACCACTGTTGCTACCGCTTGACCAGTCTACCACATGCTGATCCTTCTCTTCCAGCAGCTGCTCCGCCACCGGCCGCAGAGCACGCTCCAGGACAAGAGACAGGATCTCTTGTCGTGGCAACGAGCGCGCCAGACTGCTGCAGAAGCTTCGGACAGCAAGGAGTCGAGTGGTCAGTACGCGTCTCGTTATGCGCGGCCGCTCAGTACTGCGCGGCGCAAGATACATCGCGAGGACGTACTGCACATCCCCTACAAATCCAGTCACAACATCCTGCAGCGCATCCGCCGTGCATTGCGAGAGAAGTTCCGCTACTGCCGCCCGGTCAGTCATCAGAATCTTCGTGCTGTAGTGCTGCAGCCACGCATAGTTGTTCAAAGCGACGCACAGTACCTCCGCGGCCACACCGACGCGACTCATCTCGCGCGCCTCCCGCAACAAGGCGCGATTGTGCTCCACCATAACAACAACACAATCCGCAGCAATCTGCAACAATGGGTGTTGTCTACCCGTTGGCACTGGGGCTGCATCGTCTCTCACCTCCGACAGCTCTACACCACTTGCCAGTGACTGGAGAAAGAGGAAGACAGCACCCCACAACATGGTAAAGGCAGACACCATCTCTCCAGGTTTACCTGCACCACTGTCACTTTCACAGGGTTCTGCAGCGTCACCGTCACGCCCCCATGGAATTCGCTGAAGCAGCAAAGCCGACGCGGGTTCAGCCGCACGGTTGCTGCTGCTGGAAATGGAAGTGGTGGTACTCTCTCGCACAAGTCGCAGAACCAGCTGGCCAGTACGGCACCAAACAGCCTCCTCCAGTGTCGAGCGTGGCGTCGTGCGCTCAGGTGGCGGCAGTGCCTCCTCCAACAGCAACCGGCTCGCCTCCGCTGCTGCATCAATCGCCAGCGTCTTCTCCGCTCTCGCCGCATCAGTGGTCACATGCAGCCAGGGAGCAAAAAGTGCGTGGGCGCGGTCAAAAACAACGGTGAGAATATCCCCCACGTGCGCCTCCTCCGCTGCCAACACGAGCCGCTTCAGAAGCGGGCCGCAGCCCACAAGCGCCTCTGTTCTGATTGCCGCCGTTTCGATCGACTGGCTCTCGAGGTGCTCCACAATTCG